CTTGGGTAAACTTTGATAGAAAGCATACCCCTACCTTTATGTCTTGTTTTGTTTTGATAGAATTGATGGCTACTATGAAATAATTGGCAAGTACTTGAAAATATTGGTCGAAATTTTGTTTTCAGTTGGAACTGCTAGAATTTGACTGTTCTCATGGGTTCAGTCTCACTCCACAAAGTCAGTACCGTTGGTATCAGGTGCTCTACCAAGTGGGTGTATTTATTTCACGGTCCTCATCGGATTTAATCGCATTACCTGGAGAAGTGTTACCAGTTTTAGCATTGCTGCAGGTTTGTACTTTTCAACGCTATCGTAAGATACGTGAGCATAGCGGTATTAGCGCTGTTGAAACCATGTCAGGCACTTTCTTGTTATAAGATGGTCAATGCTTCAGACGTGAGGAGGAGGGGGTGGGAGTTCTGCCTTCTCCTGAACACGGTCCAAAAAGGTCTTGCGATAGCGCCTCCTCTATTAATTTTCATTGTTCTTTTCCATTCATCATTCGATGCAGTGCGTTTCAGGTTCTCAATGCAACTGTTTTGTACTGTGAAGCAACTAGTCGTTTTATATCACACATTTTCATTTTGTTCTGTGTTATCATCTATGAAGGACTCTTGGGAGGAGCTTCTTATGTAAATACATTTAGGGTTATCCATGAGGAGGTTGGTGGTTATCATATTTGTTTTAGTTTTCTAAGTGCCACCTTATTCTTTTACTTTGTTTTTATAACAAAGAACTATTCACTATCAATCCTTCTCTAAATTACTGACAAGGGAGGTCGTCTAGGGGGTGGAGCGCTTTTTCAAAACAGTTTTGCTTCCTGTAGACTATCTCGTTGACTACAAAGAGGTTCTTCTTCTCGAAGCTCCGAAGCTCAAGAAATGCTCAAAAAAAAACCAATGAGAGTGGGTGTTTTCAGTCTTGGAGTAATCTATAGGACCTGTAGCAAAAGATGCTCACATGTTGTGAAGTTTGCTCAAAAATGAAGTATTGCAAATGGTACATACCGAGCAGAGGGTAGAGGTTTCATGGGCGTCGTTGACATCCAAATGTTCGCAGTGGCTTGGTGATCAAGTGAATATCGTGGGTGGCGTGCACTGCCATGGCAGGAAAATTTGTGGCCATTTTCGCTCCATGGGAGATTTTTGTACTTTTGATTGTCGCCTGCAATGGCTCCGAATGGCTTGAGCGCCAAAATAGATGCCTTATTCACAGTAAGGACCATGCAACCCTTACACGTTTATTTTTCTACCGGAAACTGTTGACTGTGAATTTGCACCGCTAAAATGGCGTTAAATTTTGCCAACGCCAACTGTCATATTAGTGATCGAGGCCCTGATTCACCCCTATGGGCAAACTTCAGAGAAACGAGAGATTTTCCTCAACTTCGAAAAAACGACAAAGTGTTTGGCAACTTGTCAGATTGAGCATCCGCATTGAAACGAAGGCGCCCGTAAAAACAATCTTTAGCCTTGGGTTCGAACCTGCAATCCAGAGGTTTGGTTTCGGGAGAACATTTTCCGCGCACGTAGTTCCCACGAAAATCGCTGCAACTTAGTCGAAGAGTTTAAGGGAAGGTGAAGGAATTGACGACTCAAATCCTTCACTCCTTGATATACTAAGAACTTGGCACCAGTGGACCTTGAGAGTCTTTCTCGTCCCCTCACTCGCTCAATTGCCAATCGTGTCCGGCTTTGAGTTTTTCTTTTCATACTGATGCAGGATGACGAGAAAAAGTTTTAATTTGTCTTAAAGGACGAATTTACGATGGAAAAGCAACCCATTCCAAATTGAGGTAGAGATGGTGAGTAGTACCAGAAAGAAAGCGAAACCACGAAAAACGGCCCAGAACCGGAGAAATGGGACCCCTTCCTTGTCCGTTGATTTGAGCATTGATGGGACTCTCATCGCTTTGCCCTCTTCAACCCTACGCTCTCTCAGCTATCTAATCACTCGCCACCTATTGTACTACGGCGAGTGATCAGACGATCGGTGGGCGGAGATCGCCGATCCGCTTCGTATAGCATAACAACCCACATTTACAGCTCACTTTACGGAAGCGAAATCAACTCGCCAACAATTCCCTGAAGGGAGCAAGTTCTTAGCTCTCAGAGGTCAAATCTTTCGATGCCGATTGCGTGTCTGTCCGCACCCTCAAGAGATTCACCGCTCTCCCCACTAGGCGATTTCTCCCTTCTTCGACCTTCGTTCTTTCCGTGCAATCCTCCTTTAAGTAGATAAATTAAAAATAATGAAGAGTCCCA